ACAGTTTGTTCAGGACACAAAGTCAAAGATATGATGGCTGATATTTAATCTCCAATTAGGCACCCCACTATGCATGCCGTCTTTCTCCATCACGCTCTCTTCTTCCGAGCCGCTCATTTGGCTCCTTCTCCTTCTCTCCCCCCATACTTGCTCCACTTTCTCATCTTCGTCCCAATGGAGTATGCAAATCATGCGTCCAGCAATTCAAATTCCATTTCGGATTACTTACGCTGTCAATATCCTTGGCACCCTCTCCAAACCAATACGGATGTGGCGTTGCCTTAGCTGAACAGACGGCCAGTAACCAGATGCGTGTGTTAAGCAGACACGGAAGACACGATGTCATCCTGGAATGTTGAACTGCTAGACTCCTGTCATGCGATATTGTACCCCCTCTACATAGACGTTCATTAAGTGGTTTCATGTCAACCAGAGGCCTATGGTATCGCCGTTCGAGTTGCTCTCTCAAGTGCTATCTAGGAAGGCTGTGCTAATGATTACAAGAGATACGCTACAGCGCATGCTTATTTGACCAAGTGGTTGAACACTCAATAATTGGATTCACTCCCGTTCTTGCCTATAAATTGGTGCATCCTCGTTCGACGAAATGAGTATGTGGTGGACTGACAGCCGCCCCGCGCGAGTGTGCGTGCATGAGGGCCCGTGTGTAGCGATGAATCATCCCCCTTTGTTATTGGTTTTTGTCAGCATTCGTACTCATCCGCACACAAAGCCACTTGGTTGTTTCGACACCAATAAACCAGTCGTGTACGCTCTCGCCTCGTTTCCACTCTACTCGAGTTGTCTTGGGCTGTTAATTAGAGGGTTGTAAGGTAGTGTTAAGATCAAGCTACTACAAGTACACCTTCACATTGACATTCGCTGGTATGGGGTTTCTCCAACAAGGGAGGTGTCAAGTTGTTAAAATACACTTGACCTTCGACAGACTTGAAGTAATTTGACTTGACAAAATTATTAGTTGACATTTTTACCAAGCACTGTTACCATTGTGAGTCAGGCCACTTAAGGCATCAGTAAGAAGCCACTTGAGGTGTCCATAATGTGGCGACAATCGTAAAGACCGTTGATGTAGTTGAACTTGCAGCCCAAAAACAGCAAGACTAGCAGTAAAATACTGGGCTGACACTGATCACGCTTGATCCGTGGTCGTTTGCAGTGTCCTAACAGACTTTGATACAACGACAAACGTATTTTGGCCAACCCAGCATTTGCTTGAGGAAAATTACTCCATACTTGCACCATTAACAGGTAATTATCTAAATTTTTGATGGGTGTCAAAATCAGCTTGTCTTAATGGCTAAGTACACCGTTGTCTGTCATCCACAGTTTACAGATTACCAAGCACCGTTTCCGACACGACATCGAACGTGTCATGTGATCGTGCATTGGCGCAGTAGGGCACGTTATGTATCTACGTCGACAAATTAGCAGATAGCTCCACTTGATGGTTTGTCAGTGGCACATCAAAATATGCTGATTATTGTGGTGCTCTCATACTACACAGACAGCAGAGGTCCAGTGATCAGTTATTGAGATTAACAGACACAACCACCAACCTGTATCGGTGTTGTCGCACTGTCACATAATCTGACCACAACGTTGAAGCCTGACTTGCCAGATCAGGCTTTTGCACAACTCTGTGCACCCTAGTGCCCACAATTGAGCCATGCACAGTCATCTGAAAACACAAAACGCATCTTTGGTGAGGACCAAGTAGTTTATTTGTCAGTGGAAGGGTTGCCTTGGTAGAGTGACCTAGTGCACTGGGTGTGTTTTCAAGGGCTTTTAGCACTTCCTTTCAAGAGGTGATAAAGAGGACAAGTGTTTCTCTAGAGCAACATCACAAAACCCCATTGGAATGTTAGCTGCACCGTTTGAGTTGGAGGGCGTCTCTTGTGCTCCATTTGTACTATTAGCCTCATGAGCAGCAACAGTATTTGGGTAGTCTTACGTTAAAGAGAAGTTGGATTAAGGAACACGAACTTGCCGAATTTCAGCACCAAGTCCACAACTGATAGAAAGGGGTGGTTAAACGCAGTCACATCACACCCCAGTGAGATTCCTGCAAGGTGACTGCGCACACCAATCTAGTAAGCTGTGTGGTTCATTTGAATTGCTCCATGAGCATGAAAATGTTTGGAAACGAACATCCGTCCCGATCAGCTAGCTTAGTAATTACCCAACTAATCGAATTCCATGGGCAGATGTATTGTTGTGTTGATGCGATTGCAAGCACGTGGATTCTTTAAGGATTTAAAGGAATTTGACAGTGCGATGAGAGTGACTGAAATACCCACCAGCTCGATTTGAGAAATCTTCAAAGCCTTAACGGCTGCTAACCTTTCACTTCGCGGCCTTTTCTGTAAACCCTGACATTCATTGGCTACCGACTCTGCCAACTTGGCCAGGTAATCCAGAGTGGCAGATGAAACTGAGTGGCTTGACAGGTTTAGTGTTCAAGCAAATGTTTCACGAAGGGTACAAAGCGTCCAACTCTTGCTGTCTGTTTTGTCCCACTTTTGGTTTTGGCCTGGTAACCTGGGTTTGAAATCACTACACATTCCTTAGTTGCCAATGGCTTGTTATTCGTCTCGCGTACTTGTGAGGCAGAATTGCCCATCCAACTCAGAATCTCACAACTGCAAATTCCTAACAAGAGAGGCAGTCAATTTTACTTAGGCAGGAAATGATCGCACTGGCCGCTTTGTTTGACCATCACTTGAATGGTAACACTGACGCCCATGACCGTAGATGAAGTCAGTCTATATTGCTAGAGATTCCTTACCTCTCAGGATAATAAGAAAAAAACCCGTTTGTCATCTTTGCACTTAGACGGAGCGTGGTGAGCCAGACATCATGACACATTCATTTGAAAAGCACCTTGTCTGTGTGTCTTACTTCCTTCGATCAGACGATAAATGTTAACGAAGAGCGACGTCATGAGATGATGAGGCTAAAAGAATTCCGGGATAACAAGCATAATTTATGAGTCACATTGTAACTCTACGTGGCAAAATGAATGAGTAAATGATGCTTGCCAAGTATGTTTTAGGACAGTTGTAATGCACAGTTCATTCACAATCATCCAGGGAGCCGCCTAGTAGCAAGGAGGGTTCGTATCATGCAAGCAGACCAGATATCCACAAGTTCTTTGGAATTACGTCGTCGACAAATAAACCAAACTTGCAAGAGGTTCTCGATTTAGGTGGAACAATAATCAAGTGGCATTGCATTTACTGTGGCGATTGAGTCTGGATCCTCCTATCTGGGTTCAGTCTTCCAATTGATATCCTTCAGGCCTTGTAGCCACTTCAATGCGTTTTTCTGCGTTCACACACTCACACACACATGCACATGCCCTGCATATTTAGCACCTGTGAATTAAGCTCGTCTGAAGCCTGCAACTCTGAATTGTGCAGTGTGTGAAGAGCATGAATCACCTATGTGAAAACGAGTGCCAACGGACCCAGGTTACTGCGTGCGAAGTTGTAAGTAAATCATGTGGCTGCTGCTCATTAGCACATCTGTGCGCCGTTTCGTGTGGACAAAGTAAGACGAATTCGGGTCTTGTCACGGTCAGATTTGGTACCTCACATTCTAATCGCACAACCAGCTCACGTGTAGTTGATCATTTGCAATCCAATAAAGATGGTCCGACAGCTTGTTGATGTCGTCTAGACGTGATGGATTGTAGGTCTGTGCACGACTGATTGACACTGAATACGCAAACCCGAGAGGAACCGAAGCCCACATCTTCACAACTACGGTGCACCTGCTGCCACGTGATGTTAGCCAGTTGATTACTTGCCTGGGCGCAGCACATGGCAGGATAGAGATCTAGCTAGAAGCACTGATACACTATCTCCCTCGACAATTTTCTCCCTAGAACATATCAGCATCACGGCGGTAGTTCTTATCGTAACGACGCTGATTCCTTTTTAATGAAAAGTGTAATGCTACGATCCATTAGCGACGTCAGATATTTCAATGCCTACTCAAGAACGCCAATTTCGCATGCATGCCGCAGTTAATGAGTAAATAACCACATCAACAATTGTCGTTTCAGTCCTGTGTTGAAATCCCAAAAGCATCTTCAAGTGCACATATCGCAGGCACACTTCTGCAACAGGATGAATGTTTTCCACAATCTGATGAATTTACTTAACACCATGTCTGGTGACCATCATAGTTCAAATTGTGCAACTTACAGTTAACTGTAACGTTTATTTGGTTGTTGCAAATTATATGTGCTAAGGGTAGCTGCGCAGTTGGCTTCATCAGAAATACGAGTACAGAGGCCATAACTGACACTGTTGGGAGTAAATCAGGCTTTGTGGAAGCATCAGGCACATCATGATTGTCAACTAGCTGATGTTCAAACCTATAACACAATTAAACCGCTCAAGTGTAGTTGAGCGTGAAAGTACGCCATTGGCAGAAATCAGGTGCCTATAACCTCTTGGCGAATAAGCTCTGTGCATTGAGGTCAACGTGTTTGGCAAGCGACGCTCCACCACGAAATCACCTCGACGTTATAGACATTAAAAACACTGTATTAGTCACCATTGATACCGTAACATGACTGAGTCTTTTGAAAGTAAATCAGGCCTCGTGAGAATATCGCGGACATCATGATTGTCAACTGGCCGATTATCGAACCTCCAACACAACTAATCCGCTGAAGTGCAGATGCGCGTGAAAGCACGCCATCGGCAGAAATCAAGTGCCTCTAAACTCCTGACGAAAGAGGCCAGTGTGAATGAGCTGTGCACTTTGAGGTCAACGTGTTTGGCAAGCGGCGCCTCACTACGAAGTCACCTCGATGATACTTGAGAGTGCAAGCTGCTTAGAAATCACAAGGCCCCCTGGTTGACATCGGCCTTGGTGGTACAGCGTGCCACGTAGCTGCTCAATGAACGCATATGCTGCTGTGGTATACAAGCGCATGCAGTGGCCTCACGCAAGATCACCGTTCCAGGATGAAGTCGCTCCTTCTGTGTCTGCGTCTCGCTCTCGTCATTCTGTTGGCTGTGAATTCAGCCACGGCCAGCATGATGCATAGACATATGCTGCCACCGGATGACATCAGGCCAAAAAAACAACTGTCCAAGGAGAACATGATGAATGATGGTTTTGATGGTTTTGACATCGCTGACATAGACATAATGGAGAGATTACCAGGGAAGAGAACAGAGGAGGATAGCAGAAACAGGGTGAAGAGGCGTGCCCGTAAGAATAAATTTCGAAACGTAGTCAACAGATTGAGTAGGAAGATATACTGGAGACGTCACTGATTTGAATTGAAAGCTGCTAATCCATGCATATTCTTCGTTTCATTAATGACCACTTGCTACATTTAGAATAAATTAGTGTTTTGTTAAGTGTTTGCCTCTTGGTGGTTCATTGGCGTCACAAAGTTTGTATGGAAATGTGGGGTTGCGAATTGGCGTTTGGCGTTGTTGTCATGGGAAGTTGGTTTTCATGGTGGGAGATTCGTAGCATTTACTTTTGCATTAGCACACTGTGCATTAGCACATTGTGTGTGATGATAGTGACGATGAAGTTAAACTTGACATTGACGATGTGAAGCAACACGAGAAGTAATGAGGAAGCTGAAGAAAATGAATGTGGAGATGGTAACGAGATGAACCACATCGTGGGCAAATCACTGCACGATGCGACTGACGACTACGGTAATTCTTCTGACGTAGAGGATGAAGAAGCAGCATATGCTAATACTGACGATGACGATGAAGTAGAAGAGGAGGAGTGACGAAATATGCGAAGGATGATGGTGACGACGATGGCCCTGGAAAAGGAAGCATGCCTCACATTGACACCGAACTGACCACGGTTGGTTGGGCAGATCGCCTGTAAAACGCGCATTGTGTATTAGCCTCCATCAATTAAAAAGCAATTTGTGCATTAGCACGTATTGTGGCCTGCAGTACACATAGGTTTGAGAAGGCAAACGCGAACACATTATGCTCATCAAACTTCAAAATCACAAAGACACTGAAACACGCCGGGGCCACAGAGTTGAAGGGGTAGGCATAGTAGGCTGCGGAATTTGGAAGCGTGGAGGTGTTTGGGTGGAATTTAAGTCAACGGTTGACGTGCAGCATCGAGATGAAGTGCTGTGTCTGGTGCAGGATTACCGATGCACACTGTTCAAGTACATCTAGCAGGTGGCCGAACGGGACTTTAAGAGAGGTACTTTGAGGCTCTCACGCAACGCAGAGTTCAGACGACATTGGCATCCCACCATGCTTCTTTCATGCAAACATGGAAACCATGTGGCGCGAAGAAATCACAGGAGGAAGGTAACTGGAACACCGTCGCTTAAATCCACTGGTGTCCAATTAGTGTTCTCGATGGCCACCGCTCACGAGCTGTGATTCAATAATGCGTCTGTGAAAAAATGCCCGAAGCTCCGATGGACATCCAAATTAACGGGGTATTTTTTTAAGGAAAGTGGGCCAGCATGCTGCATATTTGTGCTGTCTTTCCTAACACATGCATGCACGTTTGCAACATGTCCGTAGCTTACACGTGACCCAAAAATGCTCCCACTTTTTAAACTTTCTTTTGGTTTTCCTCCGCCTTAACACCTGCACGTAAGTTTTTGGCGGAGGACGCTTCTTATACTCCATTTGTACTTTTAGTCTAATGAGCAACAACTGCAGCTGTGCAGGCTTACGTCGAAGAGAAGCCGGATTAAGGGAGAGGAACTGGCTTTATGTACACAACTACCAGCTTTAAGTCCACAACTACCAGAAAGTTGGGTTAAACGCAGTCACATTGCACCAGCGAGATTCCTGCAAGGTGACTGTGCACACCAATCCAGTAAGCTGTGTGGTTTATATGGGTTGCACTAAGAGCACGATTATGTTTGCAAACGAACGTTCCTCCCGGTCATGTACTCAAAACAATTCGACAATGCTCATCTACATTGTGGGGTTCCAAACCCGTTGCAGTCATTCAACAACTTTGCTCACAATAAATGAGGCTTTCAGTCGATCGGCGAGGAACATCAACATGAATCAGTTTCAACGACTACCAAGGTCATTTGACCTTCAAGCGGCTTTCGATTGGTAGACAAACGAGGAGTTGCTTGCTTTGAGTTGTCACTGATCGTGATCTTAGTTGGCCCAAAAGGGCTGCAGCATAGGGCCTAGCACAGATGTTTCCTCATTGCCAATTTTAACCATATACTGAGCAATGAGCGCTTAATTTACCCGAAAATCCCAAGCAAAACTGGTAGTTTAAAAGTAAACGTTTGGACGATGGGTAGGTCGTGACAGTTAGCCTCACCTTTAATTTAATAATTAAGTAGATCTAATGTCTTTGGCAGATGGCGCAAACGTGATTAGAATCTCCACCTAAGCTTTAATCTCAAGTCCCTCCCCCGCGTTGAGCAGTGAAGCGTTGGTTGCAAAACTATCACTAGGCCCTGTGGTTCACATTGACCTTGATAGGTGGAAAACTATTGCTCCGATTTGAGCTGCCTAATGCAATTAGAGGCACACACTGGTATAAAAGCGGATGACATGAGCCCCGCAGATCATCATTTCAGCATGAGGTCGAGTCTTCTGTGCCTTCTTATCGCTCTCGTCTGCTTGTTGGCTGCTAGTTCGGCTACAGCCAAAGTGATTCCCACGCATCACCACCAGGGCGGCAGTCAGAAACGTGGCGAGGCTGGTGCTGGTGAACATGAAGGTGCTGACAAAGAGAAACACCAGGCTGACCACGGTAATGATGAAGGAGATGATGAGGATGGTGATGAAGACCTTGACGAAGACAGACAGCACGAAATCGATGCAATTGCGGAAGCAGTCAAAAGACACTTTAAGGAAAAGCAAAGCATGGAGGACGACGATGATGAAGACCTTGAGGAATACACACAGCACGAAATCGATGCAATTGCGGAAGCAGTCAAAAGACACTTTAAGGAAAAGCAAAGCATGGAGGACGACGATGATGAAGACCTTGAGGAATACACACAGCACGAAATCGATGCAATTGAGGAAGCAGTCAAAAGACACTTTAAGAAAAAGCAAAGCATGGAGGACGACGATGATGAAGACGGAAAAGATGATGAGGAAGAAGTGGTACACAACAACGATTTCTATGGACAAATTCAAAATTTGTAGGAACAATTTCAGAATAATATATAATTTGAATGGAGGAAATGAAACCAAGGACTTTTATCATCGATCACGTCCAAGCATCCAGTGAATCTTTCAAACACCTACCATTCAAAGCCCCGTGTCTTTAATAATTATGAATAAATAACTTAGTGCGTAGTTTAACTCTAGCCTTTTTTTACCTTTGACGGGAAATCTAAGAGGTCGCAATAAACTGGGAGTCTGTACAGCTTTAATAATGCCTGTAGATACACGAAAATATGACTGAGATACCGCTCGAGTGAATTAACTGGCCACCAGTAATATCTTGAGCATTTAGTAGGTACTTGGCAGATCGTCGTGACTGCTATAGCCTGCACATTTATGGGTACTGACGGTTACCCGGAACTTATCGTGAGTCAACATGGGATATGTGTTCACTTAACTATATCTGTGTGCTGGAAGAATATTCAAAGTTGAAAACAGGGAGTGGTATATTTGTGGGTGCTTAAAAACCAAGTGAGAATTGGAACGTCAAAAAATAACAACCGAGGCGTTAGTTTGCATCAGTTTACTGTGGCTTAATATGGTCTAAACGATTTCGAAATGACCACTATAATCCAAACGACAAGAGTCGCTCTGTATGAAACTGCAGCGCTAATTGTCGCTTGATCCGTGATGTTGTGAATAAGCATAATATTCTTCGGATCGCCACTGTAGAGATTGCTTGGAGACCAATTTTAGACTACTAACCTAAGACTAACAATTTGAAACAACTTGAATACATTTTGAGTTTTAATGTGAGGGTTCTATATGCCTTGACTGGACGTAACAAAATGGACTGCGTTTCCCCAGACACAACTCTTCCATCTTAATGCAAACTAAACTGCTTTTGGGTCAAGTCATTAGAAAGAATAATAATTGCTTGCATTTACCAACACAACAAGAAGAAACACAGAGCATAGCAATGTCAGAGCAGAATGAACGAGCATTATCAACATGCACCTTCAAGCACTTTCAACAAATGCGACTTTAGGGATGTTGTGTGGACGACGATGTAGGGAAAATAACCGACGTGGTGTTGGCATTCTTTGAAATGAATTTCATAGATTTTGACATCAGGAAGGGCTTAGAACCGTCAACTGTGTTAAACACACTTCAGTACATCAGCCAACAATTAACGGATGAGATCAATGAACTTGGAGCAAGATATAGCCATCTACTGATAACATTAATCTAAGCAGTGAAATTGGAGGTTTCATTCAGTATGGATTATTTTGTTGAAGCATTCACCACGTTCTTGTTTGTGGAGCATGAATCGATGGTCACTGTCAGCAAGTCAAATGGGCCCGCATTTGCCTCGCTGACGGAACGTCCCATGGTGAATTGATCAATATTGAATTACTGCAACCTAGTAGACCACCGACCATACTTAATTCAGTTTCTCGATTTCCTCTGCTCCCGGCGAGTGCTTCCACTTTACAGTACCGTGAAATTGAAGTAGATGTAGTTGCCTGTCAGCGAAGACATGTCAGACTGATCCTGTCCGAGGTGGATTGCCTCAGGCTAATTGGTGTCTTTGATTCCCCCAACACTCGTACCGGTTCCTCTTCACATGTGCTCCATGACAACGCCATGCCTAGCGTGTCATCTGTTGTTGTGTCCGTCCGCACAACCACCTCAAGTCTTATCGGGCTTGAACGCCCAAGACATCTGGAAAGTAATTGAGCATTCGCGGGCTGCATGAAATGTTAGAAATGAATAACTTTGCGAAGGTTAGAGCTAAGACGACAGTAGCCATGTTTACATGGCGCTAAGAGTGTGCAGTAACTCGGGTTAATTCACGTCCAAGAACCCAACCGTCGCAGCCTCACACACACACGACCCGCTTTTGGCAGCGTGTCCGTCGATCAAGCGGGATCGCCTCTGCTCACTCACCCCTCTGGACGCACTATCACCCCAGCTTTGTCCACGTGAACTTTCAGTCTTCTGTAGTTTTACTAGTCCACTGAACTGTGTCAGTCAACACAGCTCAACTTGGTTAAGCTGTCTCGTCTTATATCTTCTTTGGGTACAGAATGGGTACAGAGATAATCTAGAATGGAAAAATTTCGTCAGGCATTTCGTATCACTTAAATCAATGCCTTGTCTTAGAAATAGCTGTTTAAGATCCTTGGGCTCTTATATCCATTGTGCTAATATTTTATAGGTACACGAGACGCCGATTAGACAGAAATTAACCTTAAACCATTACACATATCCACGGGTTTAGGATTTCCGATGTGAAGATTCGAGCCAGGCCACTATGGAGCCGCCTAATACCCACTACAACGGAAGTGTTAGACGAATCGGAACTTCCCTATCGTAGATGGTGCAGTTATGAGATTTATTGTAGAGCACCAATGTGCCACCATGTCTAGCAGACTTTAAATAGATGACCCTCGTTGCATTCAAGCCTTTGATCTAAAATCAAGCTTAAACTTGGCCGATGTTTTCTTGCATGCTGTAGGCAACATGACCTCACTTAGCAGGATGCCGGAACAGTAACCCGTGTCAATGGATGTAGTCACTAAATATCACCAGAATTTTATGATCCCTCAGGTTAATGTGAAGGACTCTGCTCGCCATGTTTGGATTCAAACAGGGACCCCAACTCATTTGAACAGCAAATTTACAGACAAGGCATGTGGGGAAGAGATCTGGGTAGCAGCTCATCCAAGTCGCTGTTGAACCCCGAGTAAAACGTCGAATGGGGCATTCAAGAAGGCATCGTTTTGGGGCATTAGCCATGACGAAACTACTCCATGGACACAGCAGTTTAAATCGCAACTTCTTCCACCTGTACCTGTCGCATCCCCTTGACCTCCCTCTTACCATATTTTCGTTCGTTACACTCTCCACAGAAAAAAACTTGAGACATTTTTTTCAGTGGAAGAAGTTAGAAACTTGAAAGGACACCACGCAGATTCCACATAGCATGAAATCAATAGCTTGCAAAATATTGAGACATGGACAATCGAAATGATTGTGATTGCTCAAAATCATGCTAAATCTAACTTAGTGAGGATGCATGTTTAATAATTTTGTCCAAAGACAGAGACATGCAGTGGCTTGCTAGCACTACCTTTGAATCCTTACTAATTAACAGGCCGTAACAACCGAGAGCAGAGACAAAACGGCCCCAATGGCAATCACCGGTTACCTTAGCAAGTATGAAGAAATCATCCTCAAGCAAATGCTGTGTTGGCCAAAACACGTTTGACGTTGAGCCAAATTCGATTCGGACACTGTAAACCACAACCGTTCAAGTATGATCAGTGTCAGCACATTACCGTATTGCCAAATTCTTGCTATTTTTTGCTGCAAGTCCAACTACTCCAACACCACACGAGATTATCAATTACTGTTTTTTCGGCTAGAATCAAAAAATGATTGTGGTTGGATTTGCGTGACAGAAAAGCGTGGTGAGCCATCAATCTCGACGGTTGCTCTGTGGTCGTTGTAGTTAAGGCTGCGTTTTGCGGTTTGCTTGACCAATAAGCGTGGCTTTGTTGTAGATTCAACACTGTTAGATCCGTCAATTGCACAAATGCGTCAATGCCAAGAGAAATGATTCAACATGCCATTTGCCTGCGTTGATGCTTCGGAATACTTAAGTAGTATATACCCAGTCGTTTGGATTGCCACTACATTTTGGACACCTCAAGTGGCTTCTTCCTGATGCCTTTAATGGCCTGGTTGTCAAAGGTAAAAGTGCTTGTGAAGTCAAATTACTTTGCATTTTCACTATTTGCAACCTCCATTGTTGGAGAACCAACATCCAAGCGGATGTAAACGAAATATTTGGCGCATCTCGTTGAACGAGGATGCACCAAGTGGAAGACAAGTACGGGAACAAGTCCAATTATTGAGTACTAAAACACTGGAAATCGTGAATTCCACAATAAATTAGTCAAAATTTGCTTCCATACCTTTTGCATGAATTGCGATGTCGGCAGTCTGAATCATGGTAGAATCTGCAGCTGTCGTTGCAATCATCCCTTGCATAAATTGGACGCAGGTACTCACAGTTGTCTGCAGAAATCGCATGCTTACTCTCTGTTCCATCACGATTGAGAATGCATTAGGAGCTCGTGGTAGTGTGTGAAATAAATTTCGGGAATCGCAAAACTCTAGCGCCTATTGTTCTAGGAACAAATTTTTTTGTAAATAATCACGTAATGGTCAAAGGGACATGGGTTACGGGTACAACAAAAAAATTTGTAGTGGACTGACAGCCACCTCGCGTGAGTATGCGTGCATGAGGACCTGAGTGGAACAATGACTCACCCTTTTTGTTGTTGGCCCCTGTTGGGCCAATCCAGACAATGACTTCGCCGCTTCAGACACTCATAGCTGCTAAAAAAACTTTTTTCTCACTACGGAAATAAAACTTTTGCACAAACTCCCCCGTTTGGTAATGAGACTCTGCCGTATGATTGTCGAGGCTAAAGCCAAATTAACACAGTGAAGAGTGCCTGAGCTATAGTATGAAGAAGATCAGTTCAACAGAACAGGCTTCATTGACTAAGCGAAACCCAGAACCCTCAACCAGGCGCCGTCCATCCGAGTCCACTCAAGTGGCTGCGCCGCTAATTATCTTGTGCTTCTCATCCGTCCTTGTTTCCGATTTGCAGCTGATCTTCAAAGCATGTCATTCAACAGCCTAAAGACAGAGGTGTAGGATACTCGAGGCCTAGTATGAAGAAGACTGGTACAGCGCAATGGGCCCTAGTGACCAGCCACAAGCCAGGCGCCGTCCCATCGTAAGCTAGAAGCATGCGTCATGCGCCTTCCATCCGACTCCTCCACGCTGGCTGAGCAGCTCAATGCCCGAACACAAAGAGACAGAGGATTGGCTGAGGCTGGCGTAATCCAACATATCTGCGCCCTTATACGTCGCCACTGTAGAAATCCCGAGCCCTAATAGTCCCCAGAGGTGTAGTCGCTGAGAGTCAACTGAGGCAAATTGTAGCTGCCGGAACATC